TAGCCTTCTTTTGTCTGGGAAACTTCTTAATTCACATTCCATTTTAATTGAGAGCCCTGCTGGGTAGAATAGTCTTGGTTACAGGCCTTTACTTTTCATTACTTGGAATATTTCTTGCCATTCTCTTCTGTCTTGTAATGTTTCTGTTGAGAAATCAGTCACTAGCCTTTCCAGAGCTCTCTTGTATGTTACTAGCTATTTTTCCTTTGCTGCCTTTAAGATTCTCTCTTGTCTTTGAATTTTGCCATTTTAATTATGATGTGTCTTAGAGTGGGCTTCTTTAGGTTCATCTTGATTGAAACTCTCTGTGCTTCCTAGACTTATGTGACATTTTCTCTTGTCAAGTTAGAGAAGTCTTCTCTCATTACTTTTTCAAACAGGCTTTCTATCCTTTGCCCCTCTTCTTCTTTTCCTTCTGATATCCCTATTACATAGGTTATTACATCTCAGGTTGTCCAGCATCTCCCTCATCCCCTCTTAATTTTTTTTGAGTCCTTTTTCATTTTGTTGCTTTTTCTGGGAATTTTCTTCTACCTTGTGCTCCAGCTCACTGATTCGATCCTCTGCTTCATCTAACCTGCTTTTAATTCCTTCTATCATGTTCTTCATTTCAGATATTATATTTTTCACTTCCTCTTGGCTCTCTTATCAATAGTTTCTATGTCCTCTTCCATACTGGTGTAGTTCACAGTAAGTTTTTTGTAGCTTCTCTAGAGTTCTTTGTAGTTCACACTGAGCTCCTTGAGTGTCCTTCTGATCATTATTTCCAACTTATTGTGAGGTAGTTTTTTTGCCTCAATTCCATTTTGTAGTCTTTTTGGGGATTCCTCCTTTCCTTTCAATTGGGGGTTATTTCTTTTTTAGCTGACCTTTCTTGTTTGTTTCTGTGTATTAGATTGATTTGCTTCGACACCCTGTCTTCATGGTGTGACATTCTGTGCTAGGATACCTGTGGGGATCAGTGGTAGAGGCTCCTTGATCTCCTGAACTGGATGCTATTGATACCCATTATGCCATTTATGCGGCTCTCTAGTTGTAATTGGGTTTTGGTTGTTGTTGACTTTCTTTGGTGGGCCCTTCCCTCCTGGTGGCAGATTGAGAGTCACTCTGCCTACCATGTCTTGTACATTATGGTACAGGTGTTACCAGAAGAAAACCAAACAGCCCAGGACACAAACACACATCTGCAAAAACCTTCACCCACAACCACACTATTAATAGCAAATAAGCCAATATTAATAAAGGTGAAAAGGGTTTAGGACTATTATAAGAAATTTAGAACAAATGTGAAATGATTGCAACATTAAGTGATTTTGTAAGGGTCCAGGGAGGAACAATAGTATGAGTTGGGAATATAGACAAGACAAAGAGTAAGAAAATAAAATTTATATCATAAATAAAAAAGTAAAGAAGGGAGGCAGAATGGGGTAAGAGAAAGGAAACATAGTATTAGCTTTAAACAGAAAGTTTATGTGTGTGTGTGTGTGTGTGTGTGTGTGTGGAGAGAGAGAGAGAGAGGGAGAGAAAACAATGAAAAGAATATATATATATAAAATAATAGGGACATAACTGGAGAAAAAGATCTACCACAGAAATATCAACAACAAATGGGCTAAGATTTATATAGGTGGGATGGGAATATGAGGGGAAAAAAAGAGCAAGCTTATGAGATGTCTAGAAGAAAGAAATTATTTTGAGAGGATAGAGAGAGAAGGAATACTAAGAGTGTGGAATGAAAACAAGGCTAAGGCAGGGAAAATTAATATTTAAAATGAAAAATGGGCAGGAAGAAAGTAAAATGTAGTAAGAGAAGGGAACGGTAAAATTTGAGAATTGAAATTCAAAAATAGTGACTATTTAGAAATAAGATTGAAGAAATGAAACAACCACCACCTTATCCACAACCAACGAGCAAAGACTGATAACAGTGGGGAGAGAATAAGGGTATTTTAAGAACTGAAAAAAGAATGTGAGATGACTAATGACAATTACAAATGGTTTTGAAAGGCTGGAGCAAGAAGACATAGTTAGACTGTGGAATAAAAACAAGTTGTGGCAAGAGAGAAAATAGAAGTTAAAACAAAAATAATAAGAAGAAAGAAGGTAAAATGGAATAGAAGGGAAGAGCAAAATATAGGATCTGAAATAACAATAATATAAAACCTGGTGCCATATTATGCCCAAACTCGAAGGATAAGAAACGAATGTTAACAGCTATGCAGGAGAAAAGATAGCGCCTTGTTGTGCCAGTCTCTATTTTCTCTCTGCTCTGCTGGGTTTAGTAGATCAGTGCCCAAGGATCTGCAGCTCCTAGGTGTCTGTTGAAGGGTTCTTTCACAGCCTTTTCTTTATTTCCTCTGCGGTAATGTACCACCCAGCAGGAAACTCCTGAGCCTGGACTCACAGATCTGCAGGACCTGTAATCCCAAAGGTGGGGGTTGTGCTTGCCTTTCTTGTAAGGCTATCCGGCTGGCTGTAGCAAAACTCAGGCATTCTGCTCCTGCCTTCCAGTCCCGAGCCTGTTGTTCTCTTGCAGGAGGTTTGGCCCAAATTCTCCTCTCTGAACAGCCTTCTGTTCTCAAGCTGTGCTGGTTTAGGTCCTACCATTCCTTCAGTGTACTCTATTCATCTTCATTTTCAGCTAGCAGAGCTGCTATGCCTATGTGCACAGGTGTAGGGGACCCTTTAAATATAGTTTCTGCGTGGCCTCCACACTATATAGCACTGGTCCCTAGGGGGCCAGTTCTTCACATGGTTCCCCTCCCCAAAAATCACACCATCTCTTATGGACAGGACTGGGCACCACCTTTCAGAACTTCTGACAGTTTTAGATAAAGTTTTTCTCAGGATCTTTCCCAGCTGAAGCTGGAAAGAGTCTCCCAGCTATACTATAACACAGGGCAGGCCAGTTCTTGCCTACTGCCATGCACTCCCCACACTCTGGTCCACATACTCTCTCACTCATAGATGCTTTTACTCACTCTCCACTCTGTGTTTTGACTGCAGTTCTGGTCTGGGTCTAGGAGTAAGTGGTTGGAGCTGCCAGCTGCTTTGCTGCCATCTTGGATCTTTATTACAATTTTTAATTTGTAAATACTTCATCTAGTAATTTACTTCTAAGAAATTATCCTAAACTCTGTTTCAAATACAAAGATACCCCCCCCCCCATGAAAGCAGTTAATAAAAACTCACTAAATAAACTCCTAAAGATATTTGCTCTTTAATATATTCCGGCTCCAATGGGCTGCCTACCACAAAACACTTGGTGCTTTTTCAGAATTACAAAACCTACTGATTTAGGAACTCCAGTACTAGTTTTAACATGTTCTCATAGCAACTGACACCTAGCTGTCACCTCCCTGTGCTTAATTCTTTTTGAGGAGGAGGGCCTTCTAAGGAAAAAGAGGCAATAAATATTATGCAGAGAAATCATAAAGATTGTTTTTATAATCAATTTGAATCTGAACTCACAAATTTAGACAACCAGAAAAATGACAACAGTATATTCTGGCTTGTACAGTGAGAGAAGAATTGTATTTCAGATACCCATGACAAAGTTTGGCTCTCTTGACCCCACAGTCAACTTGTTTCTGCATGTTTCCTACCTGTAGTATATCCTGTCTTCATGCTATAGAAACAGTGTTTTCAAGTTAGATACACTCAAGACATCACACAGCATGGGAACCCACCCCTCCTTGCCTCTTTGCCTCCATGCACTTTGCTCCATGGGTTTCTACTCACCTCTGTGATCACAGAGCATTTTGAGACAGAGAAGCTAAAAATAAAAAGTCAATAGCTGATGGCAAATCAATTAATACATATTTAATAAGCTTCAGAGGAATGTGTCAAAAGAAAAGTCATCAGCTCTGGCTGATGTGGTTCAGTGGACTTAGTGTCGGCTTACGAACCAAAGGGTCACAGGTACAATTCCCAGTCAGGGCACATGCCTGGGTTGTGGGCCAGGTCCCCAGTAAGGGGAACACGAGAGGCAACCACACATTGAAACTTCTTTTCCTCTCTTTCTACCTCTCTTCCCCTCTCTCTAAAAATAAATAAATAAAATCTTTAAAAAAAAAAAGTCATCATAAGATGAGAATAATCTGCCAAAGATAAATTTGCCTCTTATTTTTTCCAGGTGATTAAAACAAACAAGTTTCTGAAAATTTATTAATAATATCTAGAAAAAAAGTGATAAAAGATTATAAATAAATTCCATGGCTGCTAAGCATATCTTTTAGCCATTTTGTTCAGATCTTGTTCCAATAAGTGTGCAGAATTTAAATGAAGATCAGAGGTCAAACTGGAAATTGCACAGTCTAAATCATTCTGTCAGCATTAGCTAAGGGGTCGGGGCATGAGAATGAGGGTCCTACAAGGAGCCTGAGCACATATGGTGGCCATGTCCAGACCAGGCTTTGAATAAACTGAGTTTATACCTTGGTTCAATCATGTGTGAGAAGGCTAAAACTGATGACCTTTTAAAAAGCAAACTTACCTTTGGGTGAAAGCAACCCAAATGTGTATCAATAGATGAATAAATAAACAAAATGTGGTATATACATAAAATGGAGTATTATCCAGCCCTAAAAACGAAATTCTGACATGTTACAAATTGGCTGCACCTTGAGGACATTATGCCAAGTAAAATCAGCCAGACACAAAAGAACAAATACTGTATTATTCCACTTATATAAAGTTTCTGCAGTAGTCATATTCATAGAGACAGAAAGTAGAATGGTGGTTTCCAGGGGCTGGGGGTGGTGATCAAGAGGTAGTGTTTAATGGGTATTATCGTTAGTACTGAATGGGTATTAGAAGTACTAACTTTCAGTTGGGGAAGATGAAAAAGTTGTGGAGATGGATGGTGCTATAGTTAGCAATGTGAATATAGTTAACACCACTGAACTGTATGCTTAAAATAATTAAAATGGCATATTTTATATTATACATATTTTACCACAATAATACAAAAACACAAAAACAAAACAAAACTAACTCACCTTTGAAGTTGCCAATATAGAGACCAGGCAGGATCTAGGGGAGAGACATAGACCAGACATGAGTGTTACAGACTTGAAAGTGACAGTGTTTTGCACACAGAGGCAGGGCCCTCACCAGAGTAGCTGGAACATAGCTCAGGCAGACTGCCTGCCATATCCACTTCCAGCACCTCCCAAGGAGGTCAGCATGCCTAACCAGTCTCCAGGGCTTTGGCCAGTACTAAGCCTGACCTAATAATGTATGGATGGTGGCATGCTGGTGTCCATCAACTCACAGAACTTAAAAGACCAGGATCCCCCACAGGTCCTCAAGGATCCCATGTATCCTTCCTCACTTCAAGCCCCTCAAGTGCTTGCTCTTTGGCATCTTGAGTCCAGCCACAAACCCAAGTGCCTCCAGTCTCCCCTTTACCCCTTCTGCCGGCCTTTTCTCCCACAACTCCTCTTTTCCTTACCACATCCTACACTCCCCCTCCAACACCCTACACACTCTTGTACATCCCAGCCTTCTATCACAGCTCCAGCAAACCCACCCTCTGCTATGTGAGGTCTTTGTACATGCTGTTCCCACTGTTGGGCAGCTCTGCCTCATGCCCAAAGGAGGCCTTGTCTTGATGCCAGAGTCTAGAACAGATCCCTGCTTTGGTGCCCACAATCTGTTGTGCTCCCCTTGTAGTGATGCTGTCATGGAGGCATTACCAGGTGAACGTCTGTCCATTCTGCTGGTCTGGAAGACTCTCTGGGCAGTAAACACACCCTGTCACTCACAGCTGCATTCCCAGCTCCTGGCCCGCAGCAAGCCCATGATTATCATTCAATAAAGAGTTGCTAAGTGAATAAGTGGACTCTCTAAATGTGCAACTTAATTGAAAATATACATCTGCTCTTAAGGGTCTCCTTCTCCTAAGAAGTGGTTCTCAAACCAAACTATCCATTAGAATTACCAGAATCTGTTCAAAATTCAAATTTCTGGACAAGCCTCCAGACCAAGCCTCCATTCCAGTAGATTCATTCCAGATCTACTGGTATGATTCAGTAGATCTGAGGTGAGGATTGGGGACTGTATTTTTCACACGCACCCCCTGCATACCCCCAGTTCCTAGGCAACACCCTTATGTTAGTTTAGCACCACCACTGCACACCCTCTCTGCTTCTCACTCCTTATTTTTGTCCACTCCTACCAAGAACTCTGAAAGCAGCACATAGTAATGCTCATCACAGGCATGGAGTTCTTCAAGTATCTTTGACTTACTAAAAAACTGATGGAATGTGTACAAATTACTACAGGGGCCTTCTGACCTATTCTACCTAAAGCAGCCACATTTGGGTTCTGTTGTTGAGACCGCAGACCCTGATGCAGACTTTTCAAACCAGAAAATATACAAATGCAAATAAGTTTCACAAACCATCAAGCAAGTCACAGACCAGCAGAGCCCTACCCAACATGAAAGCAGCACCCCAGTGGCACTCCAAGAACCAGTCAGAAGTCACTCTGACAGGAGATTCCTTCTACTCTGAACTCGTTATTTCTCATATAGCACTTCCTTCCACTACTCCTGGAGCTACAGTGCAGCAGTTCCTTTGTTCAGCTTCTTAGGCCTCCCCTCTGATTTACTACAAGAGCTTCCTAGAGATCTCCCTGCCTTGACTTGACAAGTCCAAAGGATTCCTCAACCTGCCTCCAACATGCAAAGTTGATCAGGTGATATTTCAGGTTAAAAGCTTCTTAGGGCTTTAAGTAGCTATCAGGATAACATTCAGATCTGACACCTCAGCAAGTGAGACCTTGAAGGATTGAGGTTTTTATGTCTACGGCCTCTGCCCTATGCCAAGCACCTTCCTCAATCTTTGCCATATTCAAGGACAGAGAGACACAGGCCAGACCCCCCAATTTCATCGTCCAGGTTTTATGGGAAACAGCCTAATTTTCAAAGAATGTCAACTGCATTAAGACAAACAACTTTCAGTATTGTGATAGATAGATAAATAAAACACATGTGCAGGCTGACTATGGCCCATGAGAAGTCTAATTTATCTGCTGCCTGATCATATTTTGTGTTCATCTTTCCTCTAAGCTCAAATGGTTTTCACTTGATTGACAGGGTACTTAAGTAAATGTTTTTACAGTGAAGAAATAACCAATGTGAATAGGGTGAGAAGAGGTGAAGCAAGGGAAGGAGAGAGATGAACCAATGTTAAATGACACTTGCGAGAACAAACTTTGTCCCTGTCTGCCCAGTCAGACCTCCATGTGGGGTCAGTGACGCTAGGCCAGGGGCTGGGGCTGGGGCTGGGGCTGGGGCTGGGGCTGGGGCTGGGGCTGGGACTGGAAGAGAGCAGCATCCTGAAAGGACATCAGGGCAGAGAGCTGGCAGAGGCAGAGGTCTGAACTCACTAAAATCAAGGAGCCAACTTACTAAAAATCATTTAAGATGTACATTTTGTATGCAGTTAAAATATTTTAAAGCAATATAAGGAGAAGACGGAGTTGTATCAGTGAAGTTTTAAGTCCATTTCCCAGACCAGAAGAGTAAGCTAGAGCTTCACAAGCTGGAAATAAAAAGTAAATTTCTCAATCTCATTTTCTGTAGTTTCTTCCATATAAAATTACAAAACAAGATTAAGGGAGGCTGGAGACCATTGGCGGGGAGAAAAATTACATTTTTTTTCAATGAGAATAAAAGCCCATGAAATTTAAACTTCTATACTGATCAGTTTTGCAGTTCAAACTTGAAACTCAAAAAAACTGACCCAACTTCTCCCATGTTGTTGCTAGTAATCCCTAAGTACAAAAAAAGAAAATGAAAATAAATAATTTGCTAGGAGAGACATGGCTTATAGAGGAACCCAAGGAAGAGGTGAGTGTTCATTTGGGATAACATGTGAGTTCATGGAGTCTGAATTCAGTCCAGAAGCAAGAACACAGTAGGAATGAAACCATGCTCACATGGTAAGAAGGATAGATCAAAGAAAAAACTTACAAATGCAACTTGGGAATGTTCTGTGACTCTAAAAGACTAAGTTTAGAATTGATCCTAGCTACCTTTAGGTCTTAGAAACAACTGTTCTTTCCGTCTGCAAAGGATGTTCTTTCCCCATTCTTCACCTAGGCGGCTCCTTGTCATTTAGGTGTCCCATGAAATGACAGCTCCTAGGGAGGTCTATCCCAACCACTACAGTCCCTATTACTCTATCACATCACTCTGTCTTACTTTCTTCATCACATTTATCGATACCTAAAATTATTTAATTTGCAAACTTTTTTGGTTGACCTTGAAGCAGGGACCATGTCTGTCTTCTGCCCTGCTGTGTCCCCAAATCCTACCATTGAGTCTGGCACATTAAAAGATAACCACTAAAGGAAGATGATACTGCTGGTCAATAAAGATTCTTGTTTTATTGTTAAAAGACTGTCTTAAGATAGACTATGAAAGGTAGACTCCTTCTACAGTAATCCTTTGAGACCATGCTAAAAATTTTCCATGGTTGATGGCTCCTCTTGATGAATATTATTCACATCTATACCTTATTGGCAATGGTCATACAAAAGTGCATAAAAATCAGCTCCTTAGCCACAAAAAAACTCTTAAGCACAAAAGGATACTGCTTCTAAGACAGAAAAATATTTTGAATTGACTTTTTAAATAGTTCTCTTAGTTTATCAGGATGCAGTGGAATCTAGGACCACCACCCAAACAGATATGAGGGTGGCAATTCTTGATCAAGCAGCACTACAGGTAATGGGACTGGGAGGGTTTGTGATTCTCCCTAGGTCAGCAAGGACTTTCTGAATTTTAAAGCCTGGGTAAGGGGAAGAACTTTGGTGGATTCTTTAAGGGTTAAATGTCATAGACTTTCTTAATACCATTGGTTTATGAACTTAACCAGTTTGCATTTATAAAATGAATTTTCTGAGAATAGTCTTATGTACATTCATATGCCTGAAGCATCTATTCCTTCAATGAGATAAAACTACAATGTTGAAGAGAGAAAGTATCCAGGGGGTGGTGTAGAGGAGACAGAAGGACTACCATCATGGAGCTACCATAAGCCCCACAGACACAGCTGTAGCAGTGTGCCACTCACAATATACTCACCACCCACAGTACACTTACCTCCCACAAAGGGATTCCTCTATAAGCTGCCTGGGACTAGTTCGGGTGGCAGGACCTTCTTGTCTTGCACACTTATTTCCCCCTACAGGATCTACCATAGTGCCTGGACAATAGCAGGTGTTCAACAATGTAATTTGATGAATGGGTGAATGGACAACTAGGTGAATTATGAAAGCCACCAAGTCAGGTGCCACCATGTGGAGACAGCAGCATCTACTACACTAAGATGTCTAAACTTCCAGCTCCTTACCATACCAAAACAGTGCTTTTCGACCTTTTAGGCCCTCTACCTCCTTGTAAGAATTATTCATCTTCAGATCACACAGGCCGCAGGAGGTTCTGAGTGAAGAACCCTCAATGGGGGATGATTTTGCCTTCCAGGGGACACACAGCAATAAAACCTGGATACATTTTTGGTTGTCACATGTGGGGAGGGAACTACTGGCATCTAGTGGGTGGCTGCCTGGGATATTGCTAAAACTCCTAAAATGCACTCAACAGTCCCACAACAAAGAACAATGCTGCAGAAGCTGAGAAACCCTGGACTATACATAAGGGGCATATTCCCTCTGCTCTCTTCCCTTTTAACTATATTCCTTTTGTGACTATACTCCCTTATCTTCCTAAGGAGAAAAAGCCATTTTAAAACAGATGTCAACCATATCCAAGGCATCTGTCATCACTACTATAACTATTGATGCACCAAATCCAAGTGCAGATTTGTACTTTATAGTTCTCAAAAATGTCTTCTAATAAATTCTCATTTGCTTCTCTCAAGAATTTGAGTAGAAACTGAGGTAGGTACCATTATACTCATTTTAAAGCAAATAAAGAGACTAGATAAGCTACCCAACATCACTATGAATCGAGGGAAATAAATTGAAGCTCAGAAACATTGTGTCTTGTTCAAGATCACAGCATGAAGCAGCAAGAGTGGTAGAGACACTCCAAGTCAGGCTTTCTGATACCACCATCCTTCTTAATAGTGGGTCTCTCATGAAAAAGTGATACACTAATTGAAGTGTTTGCCTCCCATTACCATGAGTAAGATATAGGAGTAAGCTTCCTATAAATACTGGGACAGCACTGTTTTCCACCAGGATGGATGCTTTCAGAGGACATGGAGCCATAAGAAAGGAAGAGGCCACCAGACTGCACAGCTGAGAACTGCATGAATTGAACCAATCCTGACAGTCAGTGGGGGAAAAGACACCAGAGCCAGACAGTCCTCATATCCTACCCTAGCATGGTAATACTTGAGCCTGTTTTTATGTCATTAGGGTTGATCAAGATAAAAACATGTACATGGAAGCATTTGGGGTGGGTTTCTCCAACATAATGCTGGCTAGACAAAGACTAGATTTTTGTTTTTTAGTGAGGTATTCTAGTACTTAAGACTAATAAAATGATGAGGACAGGAGTTTTCTTTATAGGCCTCCCCCAAAGATGTGGGGGTTTAGACACTTGAGAGAACTTTGAGTCAATTAGGAGTTTGCAAAGGCTCTACAAAAACATGACATTGGCATGTTTAGCCTATTTAGTTTAATTCTAATCCTCCTAGAAACATTTACTACACTGATCTTAGCAGCACAGTGAGGCACTCTTCATTATGGCTATGAACCAGATCATCTGGCTTAGAGTCCAGGCTCTGCCACTTACCCAATGGGTAGTTTTGGGCTTGTCACCTAACCTCTGTGTACTTCCTCTATAAAATGGGAATACAAATAACAGTACCTACTTCAGAGGGTTGTGGTAAGGATCAGATGAGTTCTATGTGGTAAAATCTCAAAACATTTCCTGGCACACAATAAGCTCATTAGTGATTATAATTTGGGCCAGTTCAGAGAATCTATTTGGGAATCGCCAAAAAGCAATGAAATGACAGTTTTAGTTGCCTGCCTTTCCTTCCTCCTCTTAATCAATGTCAAACATGAAGAGGGGAGGTGGCTTTCCTATTTTGCAATTAATTTGTAGTTCTGAAGAGTTTTTCAAGTTACTTTTAAGTGTCTTCAGAATTCACTTGGGATGAACTGGCATCCTAGCTCAAAGGAGGAAAGACTGCTACAATCTTCAAAATTAGTGGAAACTGGATTCCAAATACAGTTCTGCCACTTCCTAGCGTCGTGACCTTAGTCATACTACTTAATCTAAGTCTCCATTTCCCAATCCATAGAACCTTGCACAAAAAGGATAAGACAGACTGACCTCCTAGGACTATAGTGAGGTTTAGATTTTATAAACTGTAGGCATGTGATATGAGACTCAAAAAATAATAGAACACAACTGCTGTGTTCTTTCTGTATTTTCTCATCGTCCTCAATTGGCCAGGATACAGAAGCCTCTTTCCTTTGTATTCTGTGTTAACAAACTGTGTACACCTGAGATGGGCATGACATTCTCCCACAAGAGATTGGAACAACTGGGTAAGACCCTCTAAGAGGGCATGAAATGTAAATAAAAACTGCTATACTCAAAGCAGTCAGAACAGAATCTGCACGGGTTAGTTCATATGTTTTCCTTTACCAAGGATGACCAACTTGACTGAGACTGGAAAAAAATTTTGTCCCGGTAACCTCAGGACACACATACTGTAAATTATGTTTTTAATTCTAAGGGTATTTATTATATGTTACTTATAAATGTTTTTAGAAAAGCATTTCTATGGTTAGCACCTTATAATAATTCCACTGACATACTGCGTATCAACTTTTTTTTTTTTTTTTTTTTTTACAGATAGGGAAACAATGAAGCCTAGTTCCAAGTCACACAGTAACACATAGACAAATTCTACTTAAGGCTTTTAATTTCTGGCTTCCAGCAACCTACTTTGCCACTAATTAATCTTGTAACTTCGAGCGATTCATTCTGATCTCAGCTTAGACATCTTTATCCCAGCAGGATCCTTGGTCTGGCTTGAATGACACTTCTAGCTTTCTTTCATCACGTCTATTTAGCCCAAGCTTCTGAAATTGTTTATCTTATCCTCTGGAGCCTCTACTCCTCCCCACCCTGTGTTTGTGCATGTGTGCTCTCTCTTTCTCTCTTACACACACACGCAGACACCCATGTTGTGTAATACAGTAGCCATTAGCTACAGTAGCTAAGTACTTAAAATGTGGCTAATTCCAAATGAGGTATGATTTAAGTATAAAATATACACCAGATTTTGAAGACTTAGTACAAAAAAAGCTATAAAGCATTGTATGAATAGTTTTATATACTGGTTACATGTTGAAATGACAATATTCTGAATATATTTCAGTCAAATAAAATATATTACTATGATTAACTTGACCTGTTTCTGTTTACTTTTTTAATGTGGCTACTAAAGAAATTTAAATTAAATATATGGCTCACATATTTCTATTGGGCAATCACCAGTCTATACTGAACGTTCTATGAAAGACCTTTGTTTGTGTCATTACCATTATACTCTAACCTCACCACCTCTATCATTACAGCACCTAACTGTAATAGCAAGTACACAATAAACATTTGTTGAATTAAGGATGTCTCTAAATCTATCTGTATGTATGTTTCTCGATGCCTACATTGGACATAGTGGTTCTATTTACAATACAAGCTGGTTTGTATAAAAACATTAGCAAGAAATTTATTACTTTTTTTGAAAGGTAAAATCGTGATATGAATAGGACTGCTTTTGTTGACAACCCTGAAATTAATTTTGAACCCTTGGATAATCATTTATATTTTGAAATATGTTCTTTAAATTATAATACATATGTAACAAATTAAATGATGAAACAGCTGGAGAGTAAACAATTTAAGTGGAAAAAACTGCAGAAAGAACAAAGGATAGCTAAGGTTTGACCACAACTAATGGGAAAGCAGACCGGGCCCACAAACTTGTGAAAGCAACTTTATTGTTCTGTTTTAATTTAAGAGGCAGAAGACTTGTGGTGCTGACAGACTCCAGTACTAATGGGGACGTAATGCCAAGTATTTATTCAAAAGACAGTCTGTTTCCAAACTTTATCAGTGTCCCACGAACCATTCCCCACCCCCCCCAACAACAAAAACAACCCACACACAATGTATACAATTCTGGTTACCAAAAACCTCAGATATGCAGGCCCAAAACACACAAAAGTTCTTTCATAAACTGGATCTGCAGAACACAAGAAATACAAAGTGGGCAGGAGAAAAGAGTTAACTACATACATAGCACTACTTCTACTGCCCTTTTCCTTGTCACCTAACATTCCCTACCCCACATCTGACACTCCAGCTAAAAGAACCAAATCAATACTGACCCCAGTGCTGATGCAAATAAAAAAATAAAGCCACATAGTTACACCCACCAAATATGAAAACTGAATGTATGTGGAGAAGTGGGTGAATGGAATGCAATTGGGGAAGAGATGCAGAAGACCAGAAGCTAATCTCTGTCCCAGGACCATTTTAAAGACCTGTGGACTTGTCTTTGTTAAAGGCTTTTTAAAAGTTTTTGCTTTAATATCTTCCCTTTAAACCAGTAGTGTCAGATCACGCATCCTTTAACCTTGTAGTTGCCATGAATACATACACGGTCAACTCCCAGGCAGCTCTGAACTGCAAGAGCTGACATCTGGTACCTTCCAGTGGCAGGAAGGATACAAGACTATCCCACAGCCTGGGGGGTGGGCGTCTGGAGAAACGAGAGCAGAAGGTGGGGGCCAGAACAAATGAAAGAGAGCTGCACGGATTTTCTAGAAGGCATAATCTGCACAAGCAGCCAACCAACAGGTTGGCCTTGTTCCATAAGCCACATGACCCAGTATAAATCAGCTTTGAAGCTGTTCTCTCACCTGTCCCACACTCACCCCACCAATCTCAGGACTTAGGCCTCTGTCAAATTCTCTGTCCACAAGAAAGTTTCATCTGTACACACGGGGAGTTAAAACAAACAAACAAACAAACAAACAAAAACCCTGAGGAGAGAAGGAAGTTACAGAAGACACCTATCTACTGCAGTTTACTAATGACATGGGTGGTGACGCTTCAAGAACCCAGTCTGGGAGCGAAGTGGGGAGAAAAAGAAGAAACCGCAGCGCTCGGTGCTCAGCCAACGCGTCGGCAGAACTACCAACGCTTTTATAAAGGGCAAGCTGGTCGTCAGCCGCAGAACACCAAGGGCAGGGCTGGCGCGCGGGGGACGGGGGATGGGGTAGGGGCGCTGCTCAACCGGAAGCCAGCAGGGCCCCGATGCTGGGGGCGGGGGGGGGGGCCGGGCGGGGGCCTGGATACGCAGACTCACCCAACACCGCCCAGATGCACCGCCCCCTCCCCACGTTGCTGTCGCGGGGACGAGACACCAGGGAGGCAGGTGCGGAGCGAAGACAGGGCAACCGGCAGGGCTTGCTCTGACCAGCAAACACCGCGGGAGGGAAGGCTGAAAAGTGGAGGCAAAAACAGCACAGATGAAAGAAAGACACTTTACCTTGTTCATCCCATTCCCCATGGTGGCTGAGTGCGAACTCAAGTACCCTTGGCAATGAGGGCGCAGGCTCCCTACTGGCGTTACTGCTGGAGGATTAGGAGCAGGTGGGGCGGGAGGGAGGAGGCGCTGGGGAGGAATTTCGTGCTCTAAGTATAAACAACAACAACGACAACCGGGGCCGTCAGGGAGGCAGGGCTGTTTCCAGGGACTCGGCAGGGACTCTGGGGCTTTCCGCCCCTCCGCCTTGGACTTCCCAGTCGGGTCGGGCACAGCAGCGGGGTCTCTGCCGGGAAACGGTCTCGCTTCGCCCGCAGACGCCCAGAGCGAGACCCTCGCAGCCCTCCCCGGCAGGCTCCCTGGGAGCTGTAGTCTGACGCCCTGTGGCCAGCGGCCCGCGGGGGGAGGGGCGGGAACCAGGGTTCCCGGCGCGAGCGACAGTCGAGCGCGCACGCGCGTTCCCGGAGCCGGCGGCGGGCGGGGGCGGAGCGCGGGGGGCGCGCAGGCCTCACCCCTACCTAGAGGCTGAGCGTCACCAGCTACCTCCGGCAGGTCCAAGTCACCAAAACATCCGCAGACCTTTTCCCTTGGGGCGACTCATGGGGTCGGGGGCGGGGGCTGTTACGGGCAGTCGCCACCCTGCCTTGAGGGCCTCGGTGAATCAGGTGCTAATCACCGCGGCTCCCCTGACTGGTTTTTCTGAATACGGCGGATTTAGGCCCCGGTCGGGGGATTCCTCTGGCTCTCCCCCACCCACGAAGACCGAGAAGGCACACGCGATGAGGAAAGGTGGACTCGGTTACTCATCTCTGAAATGACCCTACCTCCTTACCCTGGGAGAGCAGATGGTCGTATCTTAGACCTCTTACCGTGGCTTTGGCCATCTAGTGTGTCCCTATTTAGATTATAAACTGGCTCTGGTAGGTGCATGGGTGTGTTGACACAATTGGATTTGGAAAGCCCCTGTCCTCGTTAAGCGGCAGAGTAATGTCTGCGTTGTGATTCTGTCTGGAGTGGACCATTTTCTAACCTGTAGCAGAGTTGTTTTGAGTATTCTGTCACCCTGACTAAAACTTTTAACTTCTTCCTTGGGGACAGAATCCTTGAGATAGGGTTTCTCAGTTTCATTTTTATATGGTCAGCAATACCCTGGGCATAGTAAGTACTTAATGAGTGTTTTTTACACGAACACATGCTCTGTCTGATAGGGCTGAGCTCATCCCTGATGACCTCATTTCATCTGCTCCTCCTTATTCACTAAAAGTTACAGCTACATTGGCTTTTTGGGTGTTCCTTGATCATACCAGGCTTGATCACACACTTGGGCCTTTGTGTGGACTCTGCTTTCTACCTAAACATCTCCGTCTTTAGTTCTTTGCATATTACCAAATGTCATTTCCTCAAAGAGGCTTTTCCTTACCACCCAATTTAAAGTAGATTATCCAGTCACTATCATATTAACCCTGTATTATTTTCTTCATAGCACTTAACAGGGTCAGATATTATATTTATTATATTTATTTGCTTACTTTTTATCTGTTTCACTAGAAAGCAAACTCCCGAGGAACTGGACTTATTCTGGACTTACTCAAGGAACTGGACTTGTCTGTCTTATTCTGTACTATAGCCATGTGGACTGGGACAGTACCTGGCATAGACTGGGGGGAGGGGGGATGAGTAAATATTTGTTGAATAAATTAATGAATTTCAGGGGCCTGAGAAAACAGCAGTGCGAAAATGCAGACATTTTGGAAAGAATTTGCAGACTCCATCTTGGCCATTTTTTTCCTTGTATGCCACATCTCCTGTGAAACAATAGGTACCAAATCCCCACATGTAGGAAGCCTCCACTAAGAGTACACACAAAATTGTCTACTGCAGGTAGGATGGGACCCAGACCAGGCATCACACTTTCTGCCCTTTAATTCTGGAGTATTCCTTTCCTACCACCTTCACTTCTTCTACTCCCTCATGCCTTCCAGTCACCCTGGCAGCCCACCTCCTACCCCTCTGCTCATCGCCATCATTTTTACTGACTTCCTGCTTGTAGACAACACAGCACGGTTAGTGGACTGCCTGGGGAATCCCAAGACCCACTTTGTTCCTAAATCTCACAGTGATCTTGGGCATGATGGTCAACTTTTCTGAACCACTTTCGTTCTCTGTAAATAAGCATTGGACTATGAACTTTTGAAAGTCCTATCCAGCAATCAGTGAAGTATTCCTACTTCCTTCCACTCTACTTGTGCTGTTGTTGCTTCCAGTAGCCAATTCAACTTTCAAGAACAAAACCAGTTCATGAGATGGTACTTGCCCATAAATGACAAATCCATACCCAAATTTTCTTTTGTCATTCATTTGGAACTTGTCCTTCCTTTTATTTCAGTCCTTATAGGTATATTTCTCTAGCTCAGATCATCTGCTTAACAGTCTCTCCTAGGCTCAGAACCTGCCATGGTGATCATCTAACAGAAGATCTGGCACTCTGGCCTGCTTTCTGTATGGCCCTATAAAATATAACACATGCTCAGATTCTCAATTTTAGATTTTATGTTCTCAATTTTTATTTTATTTTATATTTTTTGTTAAATGAGAAAAGAAGAGACCATTAACATAAGATGTCAGAAGAATCAGATTTTTAAAATTTATTATTTTGTGTGTGTTGAAGAGGGAGTAGGGTATCCATAAAGGATTATTTCCCTCACAGATTGGATTTTACAGTTGTAACAGGTTTGTTTACTTACTGATTTCTGTCTACATTTTCTAACAGTTGTTGAGAAAAGAAAGTTGAAATACCTCATTATAATGGTGGATTTATCTATTTCTCTTTTGAACATTATATGCTTTTACTGCATATATTTTTAAGATTTTTGTTAGGTGCACACACATTTAGGACAGCATGTTCTCTTGATAAAATGTCCTTTTTCTCATTGTAAAATTTTCTCATTATTTTTGGTAAAGAAGTCTTTTTTCTTGTCCAGATTTAGTTTGTCTAATACTAAGCCACTTCAACTTGCTGATGATTTGTGCTTACATGGTATATTTTACTTTTAACCTACAATATCTGCATCTTTATATTTAAAATGCACATCATTTATTTAGTATATCAGAAGTTTACAAACTATAGCCCAACGACCAGCTGGTTTGGTTTTGGTAAATAAAGTTTTATTGAAACACAAACAAAAAAGACTACTTCCCTCCATCCTATCCTAGACCTTATTCCACCTCCCTCCATCATAACAGTTTTATCAGTTTGTCGGCCTTGCATTTCTATTACTAAAAAAGAGAAGGGAAAGTCTGATCCAATTTGGCAATATGTCCCTATTTTCTCTCTTTTCAAAGCACAACCTCACAGCTGAAGCTCTCAGGCCAAACAGGTGTCCTGCCCATTTCCAAACTCTTTCCTTTCTTCCTGCTTTTATAGCTCCAGATGATGGAAGGAAAGGAAGGAAGGAAGGGTACTCCTAGTCAAAGCTGGCATGCTTCCCATCTAAAGGAGAATCTTTTTGCATTCTCTCACTCATAAAGTTTATAAGGCATGATAAGCCCAGTGGAATTTCTCTCCATATAACATTTTTTACTTCCACTTTCCTTCCTGCTATTTTTATGTCTATTAGCACATCCAACACCACAAATTTTGGCAACAACTCCTAAACAGTTAAGCCTTCTTGTGTACCCAGTGAGAAATGGTGTATCAGTCATATGGGCCAGCTGGTCCATACACATGTGGTTAAGGATAACTGGTTAGTGAGCAATTCTTTGAACTTTAAGTTGGGAGTGTGTGAAATTCCACAAGCAGAAGCTTAACCATTAGAGTCAGCCAAATCATTAGGGGTGTTACTGATAATTTCAGAGAATCGAGATAAATTTCTGCCCAAACAAAAAGTATTTGTGTAATCTTCCTTGGTCTTTTGAATATACTGTAATCCAGGCATTTAGAGATTCTGAACCTTTAGCATTGCTGACATTTTGGGCTGGATAATGTTTTGTGTGTGTGTGTTGCGGGGGGGCGCTGTCCTTTGCATTGTAGGATATTTAGCAGTATTTCTGGCCACAGCTACTATCTGTCAGTAGCACCCCTCAGTTATGACAGTTGGAAATGTCTTCAGTTCCTGGAGAGCAAAATGTACCTCCTGCCACTATTACATGTACAATGGTGCCACAGAAATGAAATCTCTCTTTTTCTGTGTCATTCTTTTTTTCTCTCTTTTTCTTGCTTGATAACCAGTTATGTCTACACCAATAGATAGTGTTAGTTCTTTACAGAATTCTCAGGTCACAAATTAAGAACAAGAAGTTAACATGAAGAGAGCTAATCTAGCCAAAGCATGAATGAAAATAAAAGAAAGCTAGAACTTAATGAATTGTGGGAAGAAAAAAAAGGTGGTGTCTAGAACTACCAAAGGAAAAGCACAAAGCATCTTCTGTTTCTCCAGAACTGTCCAGAAAGAGGGTACCCAGTTGCCTGCTTCAGGCCATGTGGAATGGGCCCCTCAGTGACCTCACCCTTTAAAAGGCCACTGATTTCCAGCCCTCCGAGCAGTCTTCTGATTATAAACTTGATTTCCTCTTTATACTTAACAGGTTTGAGGAGCTCAAATCTAAGAGCAGAGAGAACTGGAGACTGTGGGGTCAGAGAAAAACAGCAAGAAGAATGGATATCTAGCTAGGCTAGCTGGGCAGAGAGGGAGTTGGAGAACTGAAAGGAGGTTAATAAGGAGATGCTAGCAGGCATTTAGTTGGGAGTCAGTAAAGTGTGTCAGCATGTAGAATTTCTGGGAGGGTTGGCAGGGGCAAGGTCAGTCTGGGAGGAATGGAGTTATTAGGCAGATAATATAGCAGAGTATCAGGCAAAAGAAAAATAAGACAAAGCCCTGGCTCCTAAAAATTGGATAGAAGGTGACACTGTTAGCCTATACATGTTAATGTGTACACATGCTGACATATTGTCAACATACTTAGTTCCCAAAATTGTAAGCTTCGTTACGACAGCAGGGCCAATTGTTATCAGTCTTAGTATCCAGCACCTAAAATAGTTGTGAAATGTGAAGAAACATTCATATGTCCAAGTATTCACAAATAATTCATCCTTTTTTTATATGTCAGGTACTCCTTCAACACTGCATCTACCCACATTTACTTTTTTAGAGCAAAGCAATTTCCAGGTGGGATGGCTCTGTCATCTGGGAGTGACCAAAGTTCTACTGTCCTTTGTTTTTTAAACTGAGGGAGTGTACCCAGATGAGAGAGAGAGAGCCCAGTACTTTTTGTAGCTCCGCTCTTGATATGTTCTTTGGTCTTTGGTTAAGAAACCATGCCTGGTTTATGAATATCCATCTTGTAGGTTGACTATGGTTATTTTCCTTATCTGGAATGGTTGGGTTATCTCTGCCAA